CCCCCCCCCCCCCCCCCCCCCACTTGTAGCAGACGAAGGAAGTGGGACAAAGCTTGTGAACTACCAAAGGCTCAAGAAAGGTGATACTGTGAGAAGACTCCCTGATTGACTGGATTGGAGATCTTCCAAAAGTCAAGGTGAGAACCCCAACCCTCTAAACATGAGTATATGAACAGATGTAAATCCAGACAAGGTGGCATAAGCAGTACCCTTGCTGTGGTCTGGACTCTAACTACCAAGCCAGGGATCCATGGAGAAGTTCCACTGATCGAGGAGCGTCCACCAAAGGGAACTCACATAAGCCAGACCCAAGGGAATGAGAACTTCCAAGGAAGCCCACATCCCCAAAGAGTTAGAACATCTCAAGCTGTAAGAAAAGGTGAGGGAAATGTGAAATGCTTGCTCCAAGCCCAAAAGGAGAAGAATGGACCCAATGGAGGTTGAAAAGAAGAACCCCCTTAAATGACTGGGGTATTGAGAGGAGGTAAGAATTGGCTTCCCCACTGTCAACAGGAATCCCCTCCCATTCTGCATCTGCTAGAACATAGGAATGTGGTCTCTGGATTGTGAATGGGAAGAAGCATGCAAAAGCCAGTCATCCATAGAAGGAAGAGTGCAAATACTCATAGTGTGAATACACTGGGCAAGAGTTTGTACTCCCCTACAAAACACTTAAAGAGCTGAGGTTAGTCCAAAAGGCCCTGAATTGGAAAACTCAACTTACAGCAATAACTAACTATCGATGAAGTGAGCACTGTTGGGAGGAATGAGGAGAAAGTGAAGTTTCTACGATCATGGACATAGGAAAAGGAGCCAAAGCCAAGCTCAGCCCTACAAAAGGGAAAGAATCAAACACATCAGTGATGTAACAAAGCAAATAGTTTAAGTCCCACACTGAAAAAAATTAGGACGATAAGGTACATAGTTAACATAGAAAAAAAAAAAAAAAAAAAAGAATAGAATAATGAATTCGATATTACTAGTAGTAAAAATATGTAACTTACAAACTATCGAAACAAACCCAGTTAACAAGACTGATAAATATCAAATGGGCAAACCATCTAAATTTATCTAGTCACAAAGTATGTAAAAATAATGAACATGCTATTTGACTAAAATTACCTAGAAAACACATTAAAAATCAATATCTAACTTACTATTCCCCTAAATAACCTAGATGACAAAGAACACTTAATTATGTACTACACTGACGAAAATGGGGATGTGAAGGCACATAGGTAACAATGATGAAAAAAAAATATTCAAATAGAACAATGAATTATATGCTATTAGAGTAGTGATATGTAAGAGACAAACTATCTAAACTTACCTAGTTAAAAAAGTACTTATAAATATAAAATGGACAATCTATCTAAATGTACCTAGTCCACAAAGTATGTAGTATTAATGAAAGTGCAAAACAATTAAACTTACTGAAAATACAAAGTAATACTAAATATCTAACTTACAATTCATCTAAATTAAAGTAACTTATATAACAAAGGATGCATAAATATCCAACTAACCAAAGTCTGAGCACTGATGATATGAATTATGTAATTCTCCCGTGTGTAAATAAGAGCAAAACCACACAAAGGGGTCTGAATCAGGCCTACCTTGGGTATATCAACCTGGTGTGAAGTGTACATGTTTAAAAACTTAACACAGATTTCCTGGGAGAACAGGAAGCAATCGGAAGAATGAAGGAGAAGAACAATTCTCCACCAAAGTGAATGATGTGGCAGCATGGCAACTGGTGGAAGATGCCAGAAAAAAAAAAAAAGAGTTTAAAGTGTCTACTCATTGACTGTATTCTTCCCCAGAAACACAGTCACGTTGAAAATAAGAAGAAATCACTGGCCGAACATGTGAATCGAGCTCCCTGAAAATTAAGACCTGTACCTCCTCTGCATATAAAGTCAAACCTGATTCCCAGGAAGTCGTACCAATTGCAACTTTTTACTGTAACAGGATTGATTGTAAATTCATATTATGATCTCTTGTAATTTGGTAACAAGAAATAAATGCAGAGAAATTGACGAAAAAAATGAATGCAAACACAGTAAAATAAAACTGTTGCAAAAAAATTAAAATGGCAAAGAAGCATGTTTGTAAATTGCAGCCACATGCAAAATACCACATGTCTAAACATTGCTGTGCCAATCAGAAAAATGAGGATTGAGCTGGAATATCAGAGGGAGCTGGATGTGCCAGTATAGGTCACCAATACTATTGGTGGAAAGTATTCACATGATATGTACATGTTCAGAGATGGCACGAAATTGATGGGATATATAGACTAGTGCACTGACTGCAAAATCTTTTTTAGCAATGCTTAGAGGGCAGACGAACATCAAGATAGCTTTGTGTGAAAAGAGGTGAGACCGTATGAGAGAGGTGTAAATGAAACAGATGAAGATAACAAAATAATAACTAAAATATTATGAACATTTACTTTAGTCATTTTGAAAATATAATAAAGTACAGATGTGAAGTAAAATGAGACATAACTCCCTCCAATATCCCTCTCTCTCATTTCTGTTGCTGCAATTTCTATAAAAGGTACTAATTCTTTCTTACAAAGTGTTTCCTATGGTCCCACATCTGAACAGAACCATCCTGACAGGCACCAGCAACCAGAATTCCATCACGACTGTAGCGACAAGCTGTAGGAATCGCCCGGAGACCTCCCTGTTTCTTGGGTTTAATCACATGTAATTGCTTTTCAACTTCCCACAATCGAAGTGTCCTGTTGGAAACATCTTTACATTCACAGTGATGTTATGCATAGAATAGATTACTGCAATGTTAGTAATAATATCAGTGAAACAGTCCACAACAATGTAACTAAACTATGTTTAGAACATACTTTTATACCTAAAAAAACAACAAAAAAAAACAATTAAATTGAAGACAATTTAAAAACTTTCCACAACAATGCATTGCTAAAGACTGAGGGAAAATAGGACAGTGTAGGTTTCTTACACAACTTTCCCAAATTCTGTTTTAAAGTACAAGTGATGTCCTTGCAATTTAAATTTAAAATCATTATTTAACATTCTCTAGAAATAGGTTCTGGTATTGAAACTACACATTTTAGTTACTTACTACAAGCAAGAAAAATGAAAACAATATCAGTACCAACCCATCATTGGAACAAGTTAAAAATTCTTTTTCTCGTGGATGCCAACAACCATCATTCAACATAGCAATATGGCCCTGTAAAAACATCAAACCATCATTCAACACAACAGTAACAAAGTATAAACAACAAACCATCATTCAACACAAGTGACAAAGTATAAACAACAAACCATCATTCAACACAACAGTGACAAAGTATAAACAACTAAACATCATTGAACACAGAAATGTAAAATACCATTATTCAACAAACTTTGACTGCTTCAGATATTTGCATAAAGCTACACAGGGGGATATCTGCTCATAATCATCTCTAACTTTACAATGAGAGACTAAAGGAAAGGCAGCTAGATTACAGCACCAACTTTCAATTCTTGAGTTACTCTAACCAAAAGTTATTCTCTCTAATGTAAACTAACCTTTGTTCTAGCCATGTCTGTAATGTACTGGTCTCCTTTAGCACATTCAAAAATTTCAAATCCATCCCTGTCCAAAACTTTGGCTTGGCACCCTCCAGAGACTACCAATATTGCATCTCCAGTTACAGTGTACTCTAAGTTTTTGATCTGGTGACTAAATTAGACATATGAATGTACTCAAATACCATCCTAAGAAGAGGACTATGATTATATCTTAGTTTTCTCTATTAACATAAAACATAAGTATCTCTCTCTCTCTCACACACATTTTACTACCATCACAGAACAAAAGAATATCTAAGATTTTCAGTAGGTCTTTATTCATTAAAGACAGTTCTGTAACATTTAACAAAATATGTTTTTTATGTAATAGCATTAAAAACATTGTTTCCAAAAACTGATGATTTTTCTTCATACTGATGCCCTCTTTAATTCTTCATCATAAAATGTTATTTCACCCAAGATTATAAATTTAAACATTCTAAAAACAAGAATTACAGAAGTAATTACTTCTTCAGAATTACAGAATTAAACTGATCAACTTACCACTCACAAGGCCTCAGAGTTCGGAATGACTGCAAAGATGCACCCATGCCAGCAAAATCCCAAAACTGAATATCAAAATCAGAACTTCCTGTAACCAGTCTAGCTCCACTGGGATCCAACCCAAGTGCTGTCACCTAAGACAAGCATGAGAAAACAATCCACTGTGTGGTTTTTCCAGAACCTTAATAATAAACTTTAAGAATTCATTACAACAAACTTCTACAAAATCTTTTCATTAAATCTAATTATCAAGTCTGTACATCTAATTACTAACTTATTATGAAGTTTTTACATTTAGTTAGCGTGATTATAGCATTCATATATACATCTGGTTGTATAGTGTGTAAACCTGATTATTTTGTATGATAATTGATTAATCAATCTGTAAAACTAACAAATATATTATTAATTGTATATAAACTTTATAAACCTGGTTAGTAATCTTACATTGATTAACGCAGTACTAATTAATTTTGTGTTCTACAAATTATGTAACATTAACATTATTTACTTCATATTTGCAAACTACTGATTAGCTTTAATTATTTATTAGAGTGTATTTCTATTCCTTCAAGGGGGATAAAAGTGTTTGTTTGTAATTAAGCACAAAGCTACACAATGGGCTATCTGTGCTCTGCCCACCACGGGTATCGAAACCCAGATTCTAGCGTTGTAAGTCCGCAGACATACCGCTGTGCCACT